TAGTTATTTTTCCTAAAAACCTATTTTATGGGTTTGGTTTAGGTTCCGGTCAAAATATGAAATTTTTTAGGAAAATAACTTTAAAGTTTTAAAATTATATAAAAAAATACTATTCAACTTTTTTAATAAGAAAATACCTACAAACTATATATATATATATATATATATATATATATATATATATATATATATGACCATTTAACTTGATCTCAGGTTTCCACGTTACATTGAAATAAAATTCACAAGAAAACTTTTAAGTTTTACGTTTTTATATTAATTATAATTTTTTCATAGTTTATATATTCATGCATAAAAACGTATTTATATACAAAGAGAATGTTCAATTATACATTAATGTTATTTTGTAATATATGTTTTTTTTCACATTTATGCGGTTTAAAACGTAAAATATGTTTTTACAAGTATAAATACGTTTTATAGAAGTATAAATATGTATTTACATTTTAAAAAATATATAAATACGTATTTATACTTCTAAAAATGTAAAAATATGTATTCATACTGCTAAAAATGTATTTATACTTTTAAAAAACATATATATATATATATATATATATATATATATATATATATATGCTTCTAAAAACCGTATTTTACATTTTAAATCGTATAAATAAGCAAAAATAACATATGTAAAGAAATAACATTTTTTAAAACGTAAATGCGATGTTTAATTAAACAGTTTTCCATTTATAAATATGTTTTTTTTGCTTTGAATACATATAACATGTTACAAAAAAAAATACAACCTTCAGTTTTAACACCCCATATCTTGTAGTTTGTTAGTATTTTTTTTGTAATGAACAAAGTAAAATAATGTTTTTTTTGCAATTTTGAAACTTTGTTACTATCCTAACTCATTTTCACATAAAATAGTTGTCAATTAGTTGAACCTATTATAGCCGACAATGAGAATATGTTTTTTTTTTAACAAAATGATAATATATATATATATATATATATATATATATATATATATAAAGTTTATTGGTATTTTTATACTAAACAAAATTAAATAGTGTTTTTTGTATTATATGAAAACTTTATTGACATGATTTCATAATTACTACATGACAACTTTATCAAATTCTTTTTCTTTTCTAATTTTTATTAGTCAAATAAAAGTGATCTCACACCTATTCGTTTTATACGAGATGTGTGTCCGTATAAAACGTTGGTGGAAAAATAGTTTTTTTATGAATAGTTTCTTATAGTTTCTTACAGTGAAATAATTATTAGATTTTAATATTGGTTATTATGTAATAAAAAATTAGGAAAATACAAATCTAGCCAAAATCCTTAATTAATTAACAAAAATTAGCCAAAAAAAACCATTTAGCCAAAAATAGCCCACAAAAGAGTAGTCAACTGTAGGTTGACTACTGTTTCGCCAAATCGTCTACTGTTTCGTTTTTGTATAAATTTTTTTTTTCATTTTTAGGATACAAAACCGTAGGTTTTTTAAAACCTACGGTTTCCTCTCGAAAACTTACGGTTTCCCCAAAACAGTAGTTAAAACCCCCAAAACAGTAGATTTAAAAAAATAAAAATAAAAATAAAAAAAAAACGTATTTTTTCACCCAAAACCGTAGCTACGGTTTGGGAAACCGTAGGTTTCGAGAGGAAACTGTAGGTTTTAAAAAACCTACGGTTTTGTATCCTAAAAATGAATTTTTTTTTTATACAAAACACGAAACAGTAGACGATTTGGCGAAATAGTAGACGAATATCGAAACCTACGGTTTCGTGGGCTATAATTGGACATTTACTAATTTTTGGCTATAAATTGCTAATGACTTCCTTAATTTGGCTAGATTAGTAATTGCCCCATAAAAAATTCCATTTTTCTCTAAAATATTTATGTTTATACATTATATTTATATTGTCTATTTATACTATTAATGTAAATTAATTGATATTTATGTCTAGTTTATGAAATATAAATTAATTTATATGTATTAATTTAATATTTTAAAATTTTTATTTTGCTCCAAATTGAATTTCTTAATTACTTTCCTTAATTCAAGTCTTTAAACTTTTGACAGATTTTAATAAATTATTTATACATAATTGATTTGTACAAAAAATTTTGTAACTTATACCTCTTAAAATTGAAGATATGATTAATATGTTTTATAATATATTATAAGATATAATATATAAGATGTTTGAAAATATGTCTTTCCATTAAGGGGACGTAATGGACAAAGGTACAAATGTGCAACTTATGACTAGGATTTAAATAGTTTGTGTTAGTTCTAAAAAATATATTTGTCAAATTCCATAAAAACGAGTGTAGTTTACACTTAGTGGTTTTGTTGTTTTTTTTCCCAAAAAAAAAAACACTATAAGGATTTGTAGGTATTTCTCAGTAATGAATTGCAAAAAACGAACGAAGTATTATTTCTCCACTTGGAGGTGCTTTTGATAAATAAATTTCAAACTATATTGTGAAGACATATTATTTGGATGGTTAAACCGAATAAATTTCAAACTATAATAAAGATTTGTATAAAATTCAAAATCTGTTGTAGTGGTTTTGTTTTGTAAAAAAAAAAAAGAATCAAAGAACCAAAAATTTTTAAACTAAACTGGTTTTCATGAAATTATCTATATCTCAATGGACGAATTTCAGGATCGAATTTAAATAGACGTGGATGAATTTTTGAAAAGGTGGCACAAGTCCGGTTGATTAATGACTATTGAGCATTGGAAATACTAATTTTTTTGGTGTAGATTGTAGAATAATGTTGATTACGTTGAGATTTGATAACACTTAATTTAAATTATATTAATGTTGTAGTTTGTTTTGAGGTTTTGATCCTTCCTTAGACCCCCTTTTCATTGCTCTTAATTAAGATGTGTTACATATCGTGATCGACATATTTATATCGAAAACTACATGTACTTCTTTTATAAAAATCGTTGTATACATGCTAATATTTTCACATCTTCTGTGGTTTTTTATAGGTAGTTGTTCACTTTTTCTTTTGATTAATCTTAATTGTTGTATGGATTTTACCCACTCTTTTTATTTTATCTAGCTGCAACAATTTTCAACTTGTATTCGTCTATTCGATTATCTTATTAATTATTAAAAAATAATAATAATACAAAAAGATTACAACGGTTCTTTGTTTTGTCTATGACAATTGTTGTATGGTCTTTACTTTTTACATATTGTTTTGTTTTTCAGTTTTGACATTTGTCTTGTCCTAACTAGCTGACTTGGATTTCCAACCTTACTCTTTGTTTATTTAGTATTTCATAAATTACCAAAGATAGTATTTTTTGAACATTCAAAACAGTAAAATCATGGCAAACCTTTCTAATAATTACTTATTACAAACTAATTTCAATAAAATGTGAATGAGTTATAGGTTCGATTCTTTCATAATAGTATATGATTATAAAATAGTTATACATTTTTATAAAATAGTTATACATAATAAATTATTTTATCAATGTCTAGAATTATCATTAATGTCAACAATGAGAATTATCAAAACCGAGGGCAAGTCTACTCCCATTCATGCCTTTTATCTTTTGGCAAGAAAACGTCTAGGTTTGATAAAATCACCACACATAATGGATAATGGATGATATTTCATTATCAATATCTAGGAAAGTGTTATAATAAATAAGAAAGAATATATGCATACAAAAAAGATTCATATTCTACATAAAAATAATATTAGTAGGATTTATTGGGAGAGGCCATTGTTTATCTTCTTTCCACACGAATTACACAAATATATACAAATCTTAGAAAAATAGTCATTAAGTCTAAAATGATAAACAATGTTGGTAAAGGCATAATCATCCCTCCTAATCAAAGAATTTAACATTATCACTTTGTTTCTTTTTTTTTCCACCCATCTTCAATATTTTTGTTTACAATCCTTGCAAACTTATGTTTTCTTGTAACGTTACTTTTCTCATTTCTTTCATAATAAGATTCTTCAAGCAAGTAAACAAATTTCTCTATCAATAAAAAATGGGACAACGTCATTTTTAAAAGTTGTGGTCAGAAACTTTAATTTTTTTGAATGTTATCAATTAGAAACATCAATGAATGGACTTAGTTTGTTGTTTCCTGAAATCCCATACAAAAGATGCGATTTTAAAAATATATATATAAAAAAGCAGACACATGATTTCAAGAATTAAGTGTCTAACACCAAAGTAAATCGCAATATTATGTACTTTTAAATAGACACAAATGCACATAGAATCTTGTAAAAATCATCGTTGCTTCGTTTGGTAATGAATTTTTGAGATCTCACAGAAGTCTTAGATTTTAGATTTTAAAAGTCCAATTAAAAAAATTGTTTTAAAGTACAAGTTTAAAACTTTTAATTTATAAAATTGATTAAAAGTATAAGTTTAAAACTTTTAATTTATAACAAAAAAACTCATAATACAAAATTTTATTTTGGATAGCGCTTAAAAAATATATGCATGTTATAACAAAATTAGTAGGTCATCCATAAAAAAATATGTTTCTATCTTTCACATGTCATTTATGTAACTTTACATATTTAAAAATTTACAACTAAATATTTTTATACAAATATAAATACAACTTTCAGCTTCAACTACAGGCTATCAAGTATCAACTATCAAGTGTTTCTCACAAATAAAGGTTTTTATTTGCTTTTACGGTGTGTTCCACAAAAAAAAATTATTACACGGTAAAATATAATTTATAATATGAACACAGTCAAAAAATTATAGGATATAGCTTTATGAATTCCATTTTCAAATCCTTCCACTCAGTCAAAAAAAATTATCAAATATGGAAACAAGATGAAACATAAACAAGCTCCATATCCAAACTTCAACAAAAGAACTCAACAGTAATCGAACAGATGTGGAAAAAAAAACAACACTAATGTCCTAATCAATCAAGAATCTGAAGAAAAAATAAATAAAACAATTTGCCCATGATTTGATATGATGAATTTGAATCGTAAGTTCTACTTGTTACCAACGACAGAAACCAAACCTCCATCGCCGGCCTCTTGTTCATCCAAAAACAAGTCATCGGTGCCCCTGATTCCGGCGTGTATCACGACAACAGCAGCCCCAACAGATAACGCCACCAATAGGATCGTTCCGACGTCAGTGCAAGCCAATGCGAAGATCGTTAACAAACTCAGGGTCATTAACACAACACGATCATCAAAAACATGGTTGAAAATCACAACTGGACTGCGGGGATCACGGAAGAAATAAAGGAAAAACCAACCAACAAATACGATCAAAAAGGTTATCATCGAGACTGGTTGATAAATCAGACTGAGGAAGAGTATGAGGAGGATAACCATGGCGTAATTCACCCGGAAGTAGTTGAGGTTCCGTTTGACTCGACGGGTGGCGTCGTCGTAGCTTAGTGGCCGAGTAACGGCGGAATGGTTGAAAAATTCTCGCCATGGGCGACGCCTGGCGATGAAGTTTTCGGTGTGGAACCTGGCACGTGCAATCAGTGTATTAGGAGTTATCGGTAGCGGTAGCGGCAGCGGTAGATCGGTGCAGGCATTGGCGGTGGTGGGGGCGGTGCTGGTGGGGAGTGTGCCATAACCGGCGTTTGAGTTCTTCGACATTGTTGGATCAGTTAGGAAAAAACGGAGAATGAATCGTGGATTTGAATCCTTGGATTATTGATTTGTATGGTGAAATTGGAGACCAGATCTGGAAAAAGGTGCAAGGCCAGTGGTGCTACAAAAAAGTTAAGTTGCAGAAAGTTTCATTTTCACCATGAAAATGAAAAGGCTGAAGCTTTTTTGGGTTTCAATTCAATTGTTGCTGAAAATCAGAGTGAATCCACTGAAAGTGGCAAAAGTTTGATCTTTGATTAATTTTATTATCGAGTATAGATTCGGAAAAAATGGTGGTTGAACCTGTCAACTCGTGTTGCGGGAAACTTGATGTGTTGTTCATCGAACAAATGTAAAGCTGACATACATATAAAATACGATATTCAATCCCTAATCAACGTAAACGTGTACCCCATCCATGCATAAAACGAGGATTAATCAAATTGCTTTTATTTCAGATAATTTGATCGACACAAAACGACATTTGATTCTACACGTTTCTACTTTCTAATGGTGTATACATTTCCATTGAGTTATTTTGGTTCTTTCTAAATAAATCAAGGGTTACCACATAATGACCATTTATCATAAAACAACGATCCATTTATCTTGATTATATGGTGTAACGTTAGGTTTAGTAAACACTAACACATCGCAAAGTTCTACATTTCTTTTAATAATGTGGAGATTTTGGTTACATATTTCATAAAAATCAAATGAAAATACTTTTCAATCTTGTGATCATCTTCAAACACAATTTCTTTCAATCAAAAAAATAAATTTACAAAACAATATATTTAAAATATTTCTTTGTAGTAAAAAGTTATTGGCGTTTTGGAATATATATCCATTATGGGTTGGTTAATTTGGTGGCGATAAAGTTACTTTTAGCAAATCATCAGATCAGGTTATCAAGAATTGTCTTCTTCACATTTCACATTTCTGTTCCCACATTTTCTCCTACAAAAAAAATATCAAAAACTTAAAGCAAAAAAAAAAAATAATAAAAAAAAAAAAAAAAAAAATCAAACAAGAGGTTGAGAAAGATGTAGTATGTACCATGCATGCATCTAACGAACTGGTCAAGTTCTGAGAAGCATAATGTTGTATCAAGCAAGGGCAAAATGGGAAATGGTGGTTTATAATTAAAAAACACAAAATGATGATGATCCGGATCATTACTCGGTTTTGCAGTCTCAAGTAATCTCATCAACACTTCCCTATCAAAACATGGAAACGCATTTTCACCAGCTACACATAAACCTTCCTCCCAAGCTGAATTCAATACCTGTAAAAAACTTATCAAAATCAATAAAGATTTATTCTATAACATCATTATAAAAATCAAAAAAAAAAAGTCAACAAACAACCTGCCAAGTCAACCCTTCTGGATCATGATTTTCTTTACTAGAAAGATTCGATCCTGGACACACAAACTTCACTGCAACCGAGTGTTTCTTAAGAACCTTAAAAAGTCTGGAGTATCCATCATGGTTATCAGGGTTATAATATCCAGCTGTCAACTCAGCTGCATGGCTTTTACATCTATACCACCAATAAACAGCTGGAATCTAGACAAAAATTTCATATGAGTGAATCTCATATAGTAAATTTCAAGATTTTTACTAAACTATTTACCTTAACAAGTATCTGTATTTCTTCAAATGCTAGGGTTGCAAGAGAGAGGATTGTATTGGCATGATCTATTAATAACTGGGAATACCATTGAAGGAAGAATCTCCCATAATGGCTTCCATAATCACCATGTTCACAAAAGAAACCAGTTTCTTGTGGACTCGAATTGTAGTCACCACAATTTTCAGGTCCTCTACCCCAAAATGTTTGACCACGAAGACTTGAAGATTTGACTAAATTTTGTTGCATGTATTTATCGTAACACTGCAAAAAGATTTGTGTCTTAGATGGGTATTAATATTAAATTTAATTTTTTGTTAGTTACACTAATCAAAATGGTAATTAAGTATATATATACCTGGAACTCACCAATACCAGGATACCTCCATCCCATTTTTTCTGAAAAAGAAGGATATTTAAGCTCTCCATTGGCACCAATTCCTATTTCAACACCAGTAATAAGACCTTCAACAAACATGTCATCAAACTCTGTTCTGAAGCTTCTCATCACATCAAAATACACCTCAGCAGCAGTTCTTCCTTTCAACACTCTTTCTTTATCAATACCCCATGATAGACATTCAGTGTTTCTTCTTCCTTCACGATCTGTAAAGAAAATATCTTTGTTGTCTTTCCCAATTTCAACAACCCATTGAGGGAGGGGTATAGAAATAGAATCATTCCCTCCATACTCATGAAATGCTAACCCTACCTTTAGAATTGAAGGAGAAATTAGATTTTTTTTCAATGATAACTGAATCAAAAGAGTGATGAAGGAAATGTTGATACCTGTAACTTGAGCTCAAATTCATGGATGATGTTGAATAGTTCACGGTATCCAGACCAACAGTATTTTTGTGGGCCCTGGGCTTCAACAATACCCCACCAACATTCCACAAATACACCATCCACATGCAATGATTTTAGAAGCCTTAGCTCCTTTCTAACAGCATCCCGATCAATCAACTGGCAGAATTTGTTAATCAACCCAGTCTGCAGTGAAATCATGTATAAAGATTTTGTTTGAAATTTTATTTGTTGTTGATTGTTTGGTAATAATGAGTGGAATCAAAACTATTAGAGATAACAAACCACTTACTCCAAGCATCACATAAACAGGAACATATGCAGTGCCTAAAAAGTTTAATCCTTGCTCCACGATTTGGCCTTCTTGAATAAGCTGCGATGATGAAATGCAGGGTCAAAGATGATTTTCCATGTAATTGGAAGTGTGTTTTTCAGTTGCAGGGTCAAAGATGGTCAAACCTGATCAGTCTCCAAACAATCGTGTGAATTGATAGGGGGGCTGGCACTGTATTTTTCACATTCTGTGGTACCTATTCCTGGGACCACAACAGAATCAAGAGAAGCAGGTGATGGGCTCTCATCGATTCTGAGAACTGATGACGGAAAATCGAGTGATGCTTTCACTGTATAACTTTTCAAAGAACTACTGGATACTGGACTTTCTACTGACCTTCCTGGATACACACCCTGTTGAGAAATCATGTGTTAGTACAGCATTACTTGTAAGACCTAGAGAGGAAAGGTGATTTGATCATGAAAATGATCTTTTGTTTTTGATGATAAAATTGGCATGAATGGAATCATGCTGACATGTAGAGAAATAAGAGCCCTAATAAATGAAATTATAATTGAAAGTAAAGAAAAATAGTTCACCAATTTAGAAGACGGTGTGGATTGGCGAAATGTAGTGCCATCAGCCTCAACGGTCCACCCAGCTTCGCGGGCAAGGGCGGCGAGTACATCGTTCATGTCTGCGCGTGCCGGTAGAGGGAAGTTGCCGTATTGTCGGAGACCGGCTAGCATACGACTAGTGATGGCACGGCGGTGGCGTTCTCGAAGCTTGGTTCGTTCTTTCTCTTTCTCTCTCTCATTTCTACCGCCCCTAGGACTGGTGTTGATCGTTGTGGTAATGGTGGAGATGCCCATCGCTGCCGCAGCGAAGCCTCGTGGGCGGCGCTGCTGCTGAGGTTGCGAATGGTGATTGTGGGGGCTGCCGTCGTGATTGTCACTATTCATTTCTATTGCATTTTCTCCCCGCCAACATTAACACTGAGAATTCACTTATTTATGATTTAATTGGAGAATTCCGATAAAATCATATTATTACAACAATAATATAATAATAAATAAAGCCAAATTTAGCCGATATCACAATCTCATTCTAAAATTTATTCAAAAATTAAGTCTTTATGATGAAATATGGTATTTTGTAGTTTTTTTTTTTTTTTTTTTTTTTTTGTGAAAATACGATGTTCTCAATAAGATTTCCGAAAATATGATATTTTCATTGATGTTATTATTTCTTTTATTTGATTTTTTATTTTATTCATTTTTCACAACAAATGAACCTCGAAGTCGAAGGAGTCGCATGTAGTGTTCGCAAGGTATTACAATGCCTTACTCCAAAAATACACAATTTTTTTGGAACCACATGTTTCATAGATTGGATGGATGTACCCAAAGTTGTTGGGGACTATTTACTAACCCAATGTCATATGAAATTTGTTTTTGATGACTTATATATAAGGAGAGAGATGGAGGGACGTATCAAGGTTCTAAATAACGTAAGACGTGACTTGGCGGAAATGTCAAGTCTCAAGCTTTTTTAAGTCGTGGCGAGTCATGTCGTTTGTAAAGCGTGACTTAAGGCGACCATTTTGTATATATATATATATATATATATATATATATATATATATATATATATATATATATATATATATATATATATTATTCATTTTTATATACATATGTGACTTAAGACGGCATTTTGTCAAAGTTTGGCGGCAAATACAAACATTTGAGTCATGACACGCCATGGCGAGCTTTTTAAAACATTGGTTCGCATTAAATATGAATTACAAATATTGTTAGGGTGTATTTGCATTTACAGTGTGAAGGGATAAAATTGGATAAAGCGTTCTTGTAATTAAATTGAAACCATTTAACCAAGATAATATAAAACCATTCATAGGGGTATTTTAGACATTGTATACAAATTTAAAACAACCGATATTTATCGGTATGATTCAAACCCTTTTCTTCATTCTCCATCCTTCCAGTTTATTCGGATATCATGGTGATCAGGTTATCATCTGAAGATACGATTACCAAACCAAAATTCATGAAATCAGTATAAAGCAAAGAATCCTCCACCCCATTTTTGTTAACCTAATTCCTTAGAAATCACGAAGATCTAAAGCATCTCGGTGCATCAACAATGTATCTGGTTTGGCCACGAGCGTATTTGGCATGCTCCTTAAGGTAGGCATGCCATGAATGCATTTGGAAAAGTCTAACGCTTTTGGCTAAATGCTCTGTCATATTCCAAATTCCCACACACATCTTTCAGGTCTTCAATGTTCAAGTTACATTTAACAAAAAAAAAGTTAAGAAGAAATATTATCTATTATCTTCCTTTTTGGTAATTTTTAATTCTTTCCATTAAAAAAAACTCATGAACTAAACCTAGACATTAATTTTTGCTAAATCTTGGAACAAAATCCTAAAATTAGGTTAAATTTATTTGTTCTCTTGTTTTTCTAAAGTTTTTCCACAAAATAGCAAAAAAAAAATAATAACTTAGAAATGACCATAATAGCCATATTTTTTGCAGGAGGCTAATTGCGAAAACCTAGGTGGTCTGCGATTTTTTTGAGATTTTCACAGGTCACCACCTGCTAAAATCTACATGGCTTGCGATTTTTTATTTCTTTTTTGATTTTTTTTTAAAATAATTTTTTCCCAGGTTAACATCTACAAAAATCTAGGTGCATGTGATTTTTTTTAGATTTTTGTAGGTCATATTTGTGATTGGGAGAACTCAGATGGTCTAATAATTCTTATTAAGTTCGTATGAGAAAGTTATAAAGTTTTTTTTTCTTCATAATTTTCACCAAATAGACAACTCTAGAGCTAAAAAATTAGGAGTGTAGTTGTGACATCCTCTAATTTTCAGAATCAATTAAAACTTTTTCTTTACGCTTTCAATTTCATTTTGTCATTGTTGAGGAAAATCCCAGTATATTTGAAACATTTTGAGTACAAGTGGTTGTCTCAATTTAATAAAACTCTAAGGATGTCATAATCAATACAGATACATACGTTACAGTGTAAAGACCTAATGGTCCTGAACTCTATTGTAGGCTGCCTCTTTTGCATATAAACTTAGCGGGTCAGGTTTGGGGAAACCTGGTGAGATACATAGGGATTTCAATCCTTTAATATTTTTATGATAATATTCCTTAATTATCAGACCTGCAAAACCAATTGTTACCAAACAATATAGATATAGTTTAACTTAAATATCTATAAGGCCTTTTATCCAAACATATACATCCCCAATCGATCCTCACAGATCCTTCCACGGGTGTCAGGGTGAGTTATCTCCCCAACGAACCGTTTTAAGGTAAGGGTTTGACTATACAGCTATAGGCTTCCTTGGCCGGTGTAAGTCATAAGGCACCCGAGCCTTCAGAGCAATTTGATGAAATAGAGTATTGCCTTTCATTTACGTCTGTAGGTTATGAGCCTACACTAGCAACGTAATTCACAAGACCACCTAGAATGGTCAAGTGTTGTCATCCTACTATGGGGGATGACCAAATATACCAGTAAGTTGTTTGATTTGGACCCACCATTTCTGGCAATCCAAAAAGAATACTAAGGTGTACTTCGGTATAGAGCTACCGTACATCGACACCTAATAGTGTCATAGGACAGAGGTCTACTCTCCGTTCCTAACGTACATACCCATAACATGATGCTACACGTTATTCAAACCTAATTGAACTAAACATCCTTTATAAGTCTTATTTCCCTACTAGGCAAGACTACCGGGCTCATGAACTTTCCTTGAAATACCAATTCTATTTTAGGCAACCCTATCCTAATATTAACGTATAGTATTTATATTTTCTTTATATTTTTCACAAATAAAACTTCTATTATTTATTTTCATGTAATCATATTATTTATATACTATAACACATTAGGGGTGACCATGGGTCAGGTTGGGTCGATTTTGGGATAAAACCGAACCCAACCCGTGTATTTCGGTTTATGGATTTTAGAACCCGTTCGGTTCGATTTTTTGTTGCTTTTGGTTTTTGGTTCTTGGGTCAGCTTCATCGGTTTTTAGGTTCAACCCATGGGTTGATAGGTTTTGGGTTTAAACTCGTGGGTTTTAGGTTGTAACCCATTTTTTAGCAAATCTTTATAACTTAAAAAATGAAACAAATTTAGCAACCTAGATTAAAGAAACTAAAAAAACAAAACAATTTCAACATCAACACAACCTTTAAAAGTATGTTGCTAATAGTTTACAACAACCAAGTTTAACAAGTTTTTAGAAATAAAAACAAGTAACAAATAACCATATAATAATCTCGGTTTCACTAAAACAACAACACATGCTATATATTTGGTGTAATTTGGTACCAAAATTCACCTTCTTTTGTATTTGACGTATATTACCTTTGACATAGAAAGTCAAATTATAGCATATCATTGGAAAACATGTACTAATCTCGGGATGGGTCGGTTTCAAACCCAACGAGTTGGGTCGGTTTTAAACCCGACGGAATGGGTCGGTTTGAGGTACTAAAACCGAACCTAAAACCCATTTTTTTGGTTTTTTAAAATTTAAACACAAACCCGACGGTTTGGGTTCGATTTCGGTTTCTCGATTTCGGTTTTGTTGGTTTTTGTCGGTTTTTGGGTTTTCGGGTTTAGTTTTTCTCACCCCTATAACACATATAGAACCATATTTGGTTCGCACCTCGTATATAAACATATATATTTCTAACATATATTCCAGGAAATAAGCATATAGTTCACATATAAACTTTTTAACAAATATTTAATATTTTAATTAATACTTGTATTAAAATCATGTTCATTAAGGTACTATGCACTCACTTGATAAAATGGGTGACTGACGATTTCGGCAGCGCTTCGCTTCACACTTCCAAAGAGACTTAGACGTATAAATCACTAAGCCTTAGTCTAGTTTCATAATCATGGCGAGTATTTAATGATAGTCTAGATTCCTCAATAACCCCAATGTCTACATCAAGATCTATCAAGTAATGAATAACCAGGAAGGACCATATCGGAGGTAGGGTACGTTTGGTATACAGAATATACTGTTTGGAAATCTCACTTTTAACATCACACTAAATTCAGCCTAGACATCACTCCCGTAAGTAGATCAATTAGTATAATGACTTGAAATCACTGATAAATCTTAATTATAGGTTCATAATAACGACTATGTCTATAATTAAAAGTTACACCTGAATAAAATAAGTGTAGCTTAACTTATAAAGTATTCCGAGGAAAACCAGGGATTATGCGGGTAGAACTTTGATCTGTGAGCTTCTATTCACCGGCTATCTGACATCATAGGGCTTCACTAAGGTAGATGGGAACTTAAAACCTAAAGAAATCTTGGGCTAAAAGAGAAATAAATCGAGAGAGAATAGTTGGAAGGGGTGTGGAGTAAAGTGAGCTGAAAGCGACTTATATATATATATATATATATATATATATATATATATATATATATATATATAATGCAAAATGACATGTGCGCCATGTACCTAGTCGGAAGAGGGTGACGTGGCAGCTTCTCCATGGTGACACGTTGCGAGTTCTTATGGTGTGTCAGATGCGCGCCGCACATCTTGTCTGTGCGTGCGACTGCACATAGAATTTTTATAAAACCTTTAAAAATTCATATCTTCTTCATACGAGCTCCGTTTTCAACGGGTTTATATCTACGCGTAGCTATCGACGAGATCTACAACTTTCGTTTAGACTCTGCCGACTGATTTTGACTTTATATTTAAAGTTATATTTTTAACATGCTTAGAATGTTAAAGTCCGTTAAAAATTTATAACTCTCTCGTATGACATCTGTTCTCGACTGTTTATATATCGACAGACTCCTTATCACAAGATCTTCAATTCTCGTTTAGATCATTTCGGCTAATGATCAACCGATCTAAAATTCGATTTCTGCGCTAACACTGTTATTCTGAAATATTAAAAAAAATCATAACTTCATTTTATGAAAACAAATTTGAGCGTTCTCTATGTGTATACTCTTGGTTTTACGACTACTATGACTTTTGTTTAGATTACTTAGGCTAATAAGCAATCTATCTCTCATTCACTATTTACGATACATTGTCTGATCGTGAAACTTCGGAAGTCGGAAGTCTATAACTTGTACATACGAAGTCGAATTTGAGTGTGCTTTATGTGTACGAGATTCATATCGCAACTCCTACTTGTAACATCCCAAAAATCCAAGATAAAAATTTCATTTTTATTATATTCAAAACACTATTGTAACTTTGTTTTAAACATTGAAAAGCGTTTCAATTAACACAATTATCAGATTCAAAACCCAAATATCACATATTGCAGAAAACACGGGTGTATGCGCTGCGATCGTCCCGAGCTCTTTCATTTGAAAACTGGAGTACCTGAAACATAAACAGAAAACCGTAAGCACAAAGCTTAGTGAGTTCCCCAAATACCACATACCATACATATCCAATGATCCATACATGTCATACATAAACGTGAGTCATACATATCATTCATATACCATAATCAATAAGAGTGCTATGTGCCAACCATAGTCTTGCCATTATGCCACGAGCCACCTTGTGGTATTTCTTGCTAGGCTGGGGGCCACAACCTTAGGTCTTACAGACAAGTGCCAAGAGCCACATCCTGGTCTTCCATGCAAGCCTCACAAAGACAACTAGCATACAAACTATACTACTTACTAATTACTTGCTAGAGTTCATACTCTGGTCTTCCATAAAATGTGTCAGGAGCCGCCTCTTGGTCTTTCATACATAATGTCAAGGGATAACCCCCGGGTCTTCCTACAATACATAAACCCAATAGGCCGGCATTGGTGCCTTCAACCCATACAACAGTCAAGAGAATCACCTCGAATGTTGCAGCTCACTGCACGAAACCCTAGTTGCTGACCTAACGACTTCCCAAACTAGCAATACCCAAACAACATCCAATTAGCAACTGAAATGCAAACCATGATCCATAATCCAAACTTAGGGTAAAATTACCATTTTACCCTGGCCCATCAAGACTCAGAACCAAGGCCCAAGCCCAAAGCCAACAAGGCCCAAAACTATAAGATCCATAAAAGCCCACTAATGGCTCAATTTTCCAAATTGGGCCCAATCCCATATGGGTCTTATCCTAAGCCCATATTTTCCTCGAATACAATTCAGGTTACCTCAAACACCCTTTGGGACAACTTGGTCAAAAGCATAAGTCAAAAGTCAAAGTCAACGGTCCAGATGACCCAACTCGCCGAGTTGGTCCTTCAACTCATCGAGTTCTCATCAAACCGCATAATCGCAAAGAATCGATCCAACTCGCTGAGTTCCCTTCAACTCGTCGAGTTTTCCCCTCCTTTTCATCAGAATCGGGACAATCCCAAACCAACTCGCCGAGTTCTCCTATGAACTCGTCGAGTTCTTCAGTCAGCAAACCCACTTAATCTATTAAGCCACTTAATCAACAAGATAAGGCTTCAAATTGTAAAGTCTCCAACTTTACTCTTATGCAAGGCTAGAAGAAGCTCAAAAGCTCAAAATAAACTAGAAGAAAGGCTTAATGGATGCATGGAGCCCTTAAGACCATAAAGTTGGCAGCTTTATGCCAAAAGAGCTCCCTAGGACCCTAGATCTGAAAGGGTTTGTCCAAATGGGACGTCCAACTCCCAATAACAACTCCATTTGGACCAAAACATGCAAAAGAACCCTAAGAAGGAGATCTATGAATTCACAAAGCAAGGTTGAGACTTTTTACAAGAAAAGTGTCGAAAATGAAGCAAGGATTCGAGATCTAGCAGCTCCTTCTTGTATCACCAACTCTCACCAAGCTTTCCTTCCTTCCAATGGCTTCAAACACACCACAAACGCACTCAAAATGGCCTACAACACTCAAAAATGCCTTAGGGTTTCGAGGTTAGGGTTTAGGACAATGGTGGCTAGAAATGAGGCCAAAATATGGGGTTTAAGTTGTTTAAATAGGGTGCAAAACCCCGAAATTAGGGTTTCCCAATCCACGTCCAACTCGTCGAGTTGGTCCTCTCCAACTCGTCGAGTTGGTCTTCAAAAACACGCGCGACCAACACTTCCAACACGTCGAGTTTCTTCCCCTAGACTCGATGAGTTGACCTTTAGAAATGAAGTTTTATTTCCATAATTGACCTTCTAGATTTCGAATGTTACAACATTTTCCGTCAAGATTATTTGTTCTAAATAATTTTCTATCAAGATTGTCATTTTGTCGTTTATCGATAAATTACTATAATGGTTTTATAATATGTAGTCTGCAACGCACACGACTAATGATAATCCTAATCGAGGATTTATATTATAATTATTATCTATATATCTTAAATGTATAGCCCGAAGTTGCGGATTTTACAATAATATATCTATGGATAGAGTTTGTTAAAAAGAACACACTAATTTTTTTCAACTAAAACACAGTTCATATGCCAAAGTTGTGAAACATCAAAGTTGAATTTTTTTTTTTCATATTTTTCACTAGCAATATACTTTGGAGCTAAAAAAATATGACATTTCGACATCCAAATTTGGAATGTAATATGTTTATGAAAAATCTTTGTTACAAATAATACAATGAAAAAAAATAACTCAAATTAAATTTGTATTAAAAGTTATGAAGATTTGAAGAAAAAAAAATTAAAATTGTTATTGGTCATCACATGCCACTACGAAAGTTATAGCTATTCTGATTATTTTTTTGAATTTTAACTATTTTGTTGAAAAACCTTAAATTTTGTTGACATTATGGTACTGTAAGACCCGTGTATTACACGGGTTGATTAAACAAAAGATTAAATATTAAAATATAAACGTTAAATATTTTTTAAATAAAATTTTGAAATAATTAATGAAGAAACCTATTAATTATAATTACGACCACATTTATTATATTTAATAATTTACATATATAAATATAGAAGTATTATGTGGCTTTTTAATATAAAATTTTTAAAAACCTACAATTGACATGTGAATATTATTTATTTCAAAAATATAATAAAATAACAAGTATCAAAATTCATGAGAGGTTGACACGTGTCAAAATGAATCTTCATTTATTATAGTTGATTCTCATGAATATATTTACAAAATAATTTTTTTTTTGAAAACATAGGGGTGTTTGGTTTAGCTTTTCACAACCCAAAATTTATTTTTGGAAAAGTTACAAAAAGTTAGGATTTCCTGACTTTTCCAAAAAGTTCATTTCCTTGTATAAAAACTCTAAAAATAGCTTTTAAAACTAGTTTTGTCAAACATTTTCGTTTTTTTCTTTTCCAAAAAGGACTTTTGGGTTGTGAAAAGCTAAACCAAAACACCCCATAATCCATAATTTTAGTTCCCTAGTTCTGAGTTGGACCCATTTTAGGCGCCGTCGCGCATATGTTATGAACGGAAAATTGCGCGGTTGTGCACCGACGGCCTCTCACAACCTTACTCCACCTGGCATCGCCAGCCTCCGAAACCAGCTAAAATTGACGATCGTGTTGTTCCAATCCAATTTTATAAAGTGCTCAATGCGTTTGCGAAGTATCGGAACGTCAAAACAGTTCGGATAATCGAAATTAGGTATGCAGCTCTCATGTTTTGAATTTTGGTAGCATTAAACCCTACTTAAAAGTAATGAATCGAAGTCTAGTGAATCCAACCCTTCTCAAAGTTTTTAAAATCCATCATTTGTCGAACTCTGTTTTTTCATCCCTACAGACTCTACCCGATTCAAAAACAAATTCATTCATAAACCCACTATACAATTTTCTTCCTCACACCCAAAACCCTAGCAAAATCGTTGATACTATATGCACAAATCTCAAAGAAAGAAGAACCGCCCTTCTTGAGGAAGACATGATCCCTCATCTGGGCACCGAAGAAGTCTCAAGAGTTCTTCTTAGATGCCAATCTGATCCATTTGCAGCTCTTACCTTCTTCAATTGGGTTAAAAACGATCTAGCCTTTCTCCCAACTATTCATAACTACTGTCTTATGTTGCATATACTAGCTTGGTCTCGCAAGTTTCCACAGACAATGAAGCTTTTCTCCGAGTTAATAGAGCTCAACAGGAATAAACCTGAAAAAGCAAGTATTTTTGAAAATTTGGTTCTGTGCACCAAAGATTGTAGCTGGGAACCAGTTGTATTTGATATTCTTCTCAAGGCATACCTAAAAGCTGGTTTGATTCGCGACGGTTTTGTTACTCTTAGGAAGATGGTGAAGCTTGGTTTTGTTCCAAAAATCATTTCTATCAACTTTCTTTTAGATGGGCTTTTGAAGTTGGATCGAATCAATGAATGTTGGGGAATTTATGAAGAAATGGGGAAAATCGGAGTACGTGGTAACACGTTTACTTTCAACATATTAACTCATGTTATATGCAAGAGTGGGGATGTTGATAAGGTGAATGGGTTCTTAGAGAAGATGGAAGAAGAAGGATTTGATCCTGATATTGTCACATATAACACATTGATAGATAGCTATATCACAAGAGGCAGATTAAAAGATGCACTCTATCTTTATAACATCATGTGTATAAGACGTGTGATGCCAGATTTGATTACTCATACATCTCTGATAAACGGGCTTTGTAAAGAAGGTAATGTAAAGGAAGCTCATAAGTTATTCCACAAAATGGTTCAAATTGGGGTGAACCCAGATGTGTACTCATACAATACTCTTATATGTGGTTACATTAACAAGGAAATGATGCAAGAATCACGCATGTTGCTTCATGAAATGATCAGAAAAGGGATTACTCCTAACAAGTTCACCTGTTTAGTACTTATAGAAGGATATAAAAAGAAAGGAATGTTGATTTCAGCTGTGAATCTTATTGTAGAGCTTCAAAGATTTGGAATATCAGTATCTAGAGATCTTCAAATTGATCTAGTCATTGCTTTGTGCCAGGTGGATAAACCTTTTGCAGCCAAGAGTCTATGGGAACGCATAGTGAAAGATGGTGAAGAAATTTGTACAATTAAAATCTACAATGAATTGATTGTTTCATTTTGTAAATCTAATCATGTAAATGAGGCTATACAGGTAAAAGACGAGATGTTTTTCAAGAATGTGAACCCAAGTTTGGTCACATATGGAGTAATCATAGAGTGTTTGTGTAGACTAAATAGAACCATGGAGGGTGAAGCTTTCATGAGGGATATGGTTGAAATAGGCATCCAGCCTGATATGACAATTTTCAGATCTTTGATTTTTGGGTATTGTAAAGAGAAGAATCTGAATCAAGCGGAGTCATTGTTGATCTTCTTTGCAGAAGAGTTTCAAGTATGTGACAATGAATGCTATAATGAGGTTTTTAAAGGGTTTTGTGAGAAAGGTGATATGGGTAAGTCGATGGAGTTTCAGAAAAGGATGCAAAAAATTGGATTCACTCCAAATAGTCTGAGTTTTAAGTATGCAATTGATGCCCTCATTGTCAACTCTGGCATGCTTCATACATATTAATTTATATCATGTATTGCACCATTTTGTTGCACACAAAGCACTTATATATATACATGACCACTTATTCATCTAAATTTATGTACATATATGCGTTTTATCATTTACATAATATCTGAATCTTGATCCCAATTCACTAACCCTTAGTGCTGACTGTCTTGACAGGAGTTTGTTTCCAATAAATCCGACCTCCTCCATTCATATCTTTGCTTTCTTTGGGCATATAAACCGCATTTCTTGCTGTCTTCTGTGTAGGCGGTGGGGCCCACTGTCCAGAACTAATAGCCATATCTTTCAAATTCTTAACTCCTTCAAGGGTCTCAATGATCACAGGCATTTTGGGCCTATCTTTAGGGTTCAAACTCACACAATATAAGGCCAAAAGGGCAACCTCTTTGGCTCCTTTAACCGAATATTGTCCCCCCAACCTTGGGTCAATTATTGCACGCACCCTTCGGCTGCTAGTCAAATACGGCCTTGCAAAGTCAACAAGATATTGTTCGCTTTTTGGTCTCTTTTTATCCATTGCCCTTCTTCCTGTCAATAGTTCTAACAACACCACTCCAAAGCTGTAAATGTCACTCTTTGTGGTTAAGTGCCCTACAATAATTTAACATATCAATACATTTCATTAGCAATAGCAATGAATTGTAATATAATCTGTCCCACATCCATCAAACAAATTAGAATTGTAAGCCTCTTAGGGCATCTCCTACTCAACACCATTCATTATTGTAATAAAAAAAAGATGTGGGTTAGATTCGTAAAATATTAATAAATATAAAGGTTGGTTTTAGAAATGTATGAAAGTTGGAAAAATGTAGATAACTAGAATATCTTGTGTAACTGTTTGGAGAGGAACTAGTTAGTCATTGCACCAAATGTTATACCAATTTTATCAATTAAGGGTGCGTATTATTTGGTTTAAACCGTCCAAACCACACTTTAATCGGGTTAGCGGGTCCGGGTTATTCGGGTGCAGTTGGTTCGGTTGGCAGTTGAAACTGCTCTGTTATTTGTTATTCGGTTTACAGTTTGCTGATTTTTATGTGGGCCCCGCCCGAAACCCAAATAAGGGGAGCAGTTGAAAATACTTCATATGTGGCCTAATATAAATAATAAATTTGATTTATTACTTTCAATTTTATATAGCTTTATTTATCTTATATATCTATGTTCAAATTGAGCACCGCCCCTAATCTCAATTATGGATTTACTTAAATTACTTCAAATTTGATATGGCACTATTAATTACACCAAAACATAACATATTTTATTGTAATCTAGACTAATAAATTCTCATTTTATATATTTATCTTCTAATGGTTAATTTATCTAGTCATTTAATATTTAACATAAAAAGTAATATCTAGTTTACACCAAAAAAAAAAAAATCATTACAGAGATCTTTAAAAATGCTTTGGTTTGTTAAAAAGAAATGGTTCACTTCAATCATTACAAACCAACGAATAGTTTTGAAAAAAACAAAATAATATTAGTAATTCTTATTTGTCGTGGTTGTAAATTGTAATGTAAGTTTGGGATTGGGTATTTCAAAACTACTTACCAGTGTTAACATATTCAGGGGCAGCATATCCATAGGTGCCCATAACTCTAGTCGTAACATGAGTGTTCGACCCTTCTGGACCCATTGTTGCTAGCCCAAAATCAGATAATTTCGCATTAAAATCCTGCCAATTTTCATGAGAAATGTTAAATTATCTCCATATCAGCATTCAGCAGCAGCAATTGTACAATGTTTTAGCCTAATATAATTATAATTATAATTATAATCATATTATATACATACGGAATCAAGTAAGATGTTGGATGTTTTGAAGTCACGATATATAACAGGGCTTTCAGCACCATGCAAGAACGCAAGACCTTTAGCCGCGCCTATTGCAATTCTTATCCTAATCCCCCATGCCAAACAAACCGAAATCCCTACGTAAATTTAACAATAAAATCCTTATCATCATTACTTTACAATCCCTAAAATTTAACAACAAATCAATAATCAATAAATATTTATATAAAAACTTACTCTTGAACAAATGATTCTCCAAACTTCCACGAGGCATAAATTCGTAAACAAGAAGCCTCTCTTCTTCTTCACAACAATATCCAATCAATTTCACCAGATTAGGATGCCGTAGTTGACCCAGAAATATCACCTCCGCCTTTAATTTTTCAAAACAAATAAATTATTTTTTTTTTAAGTAAAGAAAAGAAACCATTAGATTAAACTAACAGTGACAAATAAAAAGAAGAAGCTTACAAGCCATTCTCGATGACCTTGTAATCCTTCAATATCAAGAAGCTTAACAGCAACGGGTTGAGGTTTCAACCCGGATCTCATGGTTTCATCGACATAACCCTTATGCACCTTCCCGAACCCTCCTTCACCCAGCAAAAAATTACTCGAGAAATTCTGAGTTACACCTCGGAGCTCACTCAGTTTAAAATCAAACAAGTCTGGTCCGAAGCTCTGTATGTCTTCATTAAGACGCATAGAAGACGACCTGCTTAGATCTGAGAAAGACATGCGTCTGAAAGAAGGTGATGGGGCTACATTTTTCGAGAATTCCGATTTTGAGGGTCTGCAACGGCTGAAGCTGTGAAAAACCTTGTTTTCAGCCGAACAGCAGTAGGGTTTCCATGTAGTTTTTGGTGAGTCCTTCGCTTTCATGATTTTTATGGATGAAAATTGGTTAGTGAGTAATGGTGGTGTATAAGTAAGTGTTAATCTTGTGGGATTATCATTATCTTGATATAAATGTTGAAATTGCAACAACTCTGCAACTACTCTACTAAAATTGGATGCTTTGTTGCAGTCTTTTCTTTTGTAGGGGTATTGTTTATGTTACTAGATTTGTCATTTAGGTTTGTCTTCAAACTGGTCCATTTTAAGTATATTTTTATAACTTGAAAACCCTCTTTTTTAGCCAATAATATGCAATGTTTTAAAAACCGGTTTGAACCAACCGGTCGAACCGGGAATCGGGGTAGGGAGCGGTTCAACTATCATCGGTTTTACATTGATTTCTGAATCGGATTGAACCGGCCAGTTTTAGAAAAACCTGGTTGAACCGGTCAAAATAAACCAGTTGAACCGGTTAAACCGAATAAAAATACATGAAGAAAAACCATTTACATAATAAATTTTGGTGATTTTTTTCAAATCTATTTAGTTTTCTTTAAATAAAAACATATGGTAAATATTATAAAATTTTTGATGTGTTTGTATTTATCTAAAACTATATTTCGTTTCAGTATTATACTTTTTTTTGACGTATATGGATTGATGTAAAACACTAAAACTTATAGTTATATGTTATTTTAATGTATTTTGGATTCATTTACAACTTATTTTTATGTGTATTTTTAATGTTTGAACTTGTAAACATCAAATTCTTAATTTAAATATGTATGTATGTGTAGGAAAATAGAAAAAAACATGAAAAATATAGAAACTGGTTCATCCGTCGGTCGAACCGGTTGAACCGGAAACTGGTCACCATACCGTTTCAACTAAAAAACCGGTTTTTAAAACATTGATAATATGTAACCCTGAGTTACAAAAAGATTTGGTACATATATGAATGTGAATGTCAAGTACAGATTAAAAGATTTGTTCCCTATTTATTAGGTTTTGACTTGTTTGTTGTGGCCCTCTTTGTTTCTTTTACATGTCTAGGCTAGAGATTCAACTAATACTCTCACCTAGATTTGTTTTTTACATGTCTAGGCTAGAGATACAAGTATTATCAAGTGTAACTTTAAGGACGTAAGGAGTACCCCCATTGTATCGTATGGTGGATTGGTGGGGTGAATTGGAGCTTTCACCACGCTGCACACTGCTAGTGCGGTGAAAGAGATGTAAAGAACCTAACCATGAGATTTTACTCCACTTTCTCTCATTTTTCTCTTCTTCAACGCTACAAATTTAATTAAAAAAAACATTTTACCACTTTATAAATACCAATCATTTTAACATTTTGTCTAGAATTCGGCATAACGTAGTATTTTAATTATTGTTATATTTTAATAATGGTTTCTTATTTTGGTTATGTAATTTTTATTTTTGATCAATGAAATATTTTTTTATTAATTTTGTGTTTATTAACTATTTTTAATTAATTTCTTCTTATTAAATTATAGTTTTTAAAATTATAGTAATTTTATTTTATCAAAAAAAGTAAAATGAAGTGAAGTGTGACAATTTCCTGGATATTGAAGAGTGAAATGAAAATGAGAAGAAAATAAGGTGGTGCCGAGGTGACGGTGAAATGTGACCACACCGTCCTCCGGTCTAAAGAAATCATTTGATTTGTGTAATTCTAACATCCTGTTCATGAGTTCAACTTAACGAGGGAAAAAAAGGAAATAAATGGAAGTAAGAAGGAAGTTATAAAAAAAAAGTGTTCCTAAGTTTAACTCATGGAAGAAAAAAATTTCCTTTCAATTTGGAAGGATTTAGATAGAAATGAACAAAATATTTAATTTTTCTTTCATTTCTCTCCAACTCGATAACACAAAATACAATTATCCTGCATTTTTCTTTCTCTTCTTTTCTCTCTTTACTTTCTTTCCTCTTATTGTTCTCTTCTTTACTAAACCTTGGGAACTAGGCGTAATGAAATCATTTAATATTTATGGTCATTAACAATTGTTTATCGTAAATCATATTTTTTTGGAACGATAATTTTCTAGTCTACTCCTAAACCACTACTAATTTCACCTATGTTTCAGAAGAAGCGACTTGAACCCTTAACCTCAAGGAGAGTGGACAACACCTGATAGCGCCTATAAGTCCTTTGGTCGTAAAACATATATCTAGAAAATTTTAACTATTTCTTTTATCAATTTGCTAATTTAATTCATTTTTCAGAGGTGTACATGAGAATTTAAGTGGGTGAATATTTTAACTGACTTAGTGTTGCCACTTGTAATTAATTAACATTTAAATAGTTTATGTTAAACTTGGGTGGTTGAATACCAAATACATTTGAAGGCATTCGCAACCAACATGGATGTTGTTTAGCACAATTTTCAAACATGTGGGGTGCTTTTGGAATTAAAAACTCATGAAACGGGAAGAACGATTTCTTGCCAGAATTATCCCCAAAATATTAAACTTTTCATTTTTGGCCTTTTCTTGTTTGAGTGAGGCCATCAATGACACCAATGGTCAAGAATCCCATGCCATTATTGTTTACTTAATTACGTATTCATCGATACTTGTAATCATACAATTTTTATTTTTGAATGAAATTTTACAATTATTTGATTCTAGTTTATCTAAATGTGTTATATTAATCATAGTCTTAAATTTACATGTAATTTTAATCAAGTTATTTGTGATAAATAAGAAAATAATTAAAATATTAAAATTTCATTTATTTATATCTTTTGTCATCTTGTCACAAATTAGTCGTATATATTACCTAATTTGTTTGGAATCCAATTAAAATAAAATAACATATGATATTATGTGTGTGTATTTGTATTATTATATATAATCAATAATATATTAATATACAGATATAAAACCATATTTTTCTTATCCGTTTCTCATATTTTTTTAATATTTCTTTGCAAAAAGGTGCAATGAGACATGCATGATCCCAAGTCGGCACCTATTTAATCTTGATTTTATAGAAGTACAATGAGAAAACATGACAATAAGAGCAAGTACACTATGATGACGAATCTCATAAACTTTACCATTTTAATAGAAATATAATTTTTTATTCTATAATATTATCCTAAATGATAAATTATTTCTTTTAGAAAAAATATATCATTCAATATGATACGTAAACAAGTTTTTTTTTAACTAGAATCAAATATTTAAAAAGATAAGATTTGTTTACAAAAACAACCATTGTTTTAAAAGCATTTACATAAAAAAATTATTGTTTATTTCTTTTTGTATAAAGGTCGTTGCTTATTTTTAGAAGACCTATGATTCTATGAAGTATGAACTCTTAACTCATTAACTGGTCATGAATGCTGAGGTGAAATTTACAAAAAGAAAATGAAATTTTCATTTGGATCATTAGGTTTTAATATTTTTTTTGAAAAAAACATTATGATATAGTAGTTTTAATAATAATTAGACACATGATTGGCATCCGTGGTTTAAAAAAAAGTCTCATAGACAAATACATTTATCAAAACCAATGTTTTAAAAACCGGTTTGAACTGTTCGGGTCGGGAACTAGGGACGAGAGCGGTTCAACAACAACCAACTTTATGCTAAATTCTAGACCGGATCGGACTGTATGGTTTCTTCAAAAAGTAGGTTGAATCGATGTTATATAATCGGTAAAAAACCGTTTGAACCGGTTTATTGGACTTCGATAGTTGGATTTCACTTAACCTGTTACAAAAACAACCAATTTCCAAAGCAAATTGAACAGCTCGATCGATCAGGTTAACCGAAATGTACACAACTTATAGGCCAATGAACACCACTACCACTGCTAGATATATGAAAATCATTGGTTTGATATACATATATGTTTAGGAAAATAGATATACATAAAAATTATGAAAACTGAGTTGAACCGGCGGTCGAACCGGTTAAACCGGTCAACGAGACTCAATTCAAATAAAAATTTGTTTTCAAAACATTGATCAAACTCATTACAAGGATGGTTCCGGTGGTTTCATTTACATTCATGGTTGGACTTTCATGTAAAATGAAAAGGTCAAAGAGAATAGCAATGTTTTAAAAACCGGTTTGAACCAACCGGTCGAACCGGTTGGAACGGGAATCGGGGGAGGGAGCAGTTCAACTATCACCGGTTTTACATTGATTTCTGAATCGGATTGAACCGGCCGGTTTTTAGAAAAACCTGGTTGAACCGGTCAAAATAAACCGGTTGAACCGGTTAAACCGAATAAAAATACATGAAGAAAAACCATTTACATAATAAACTTTGGTGATTTTTTTTCAAATCTATTTAGTTTTCTTTAAATAAAAACATGTGGTAAATATTATAAAGTTTTTGATGTGTTTGTATTTATCTAAAACTATATTTCGTTTCAGTATTATACTTTTTTTTGACGTATATGAATTGATGTAAAACACTAAAACTTATGGTTATATGTTATTTTAATGTATTTTGGATTCATTTACAACTTATTTTTAATGTTTGAACTTGTAAACATCAAATTCTTAATTTAAATATGTATGTATGTGTAGGAAAATAGAAAACAAATGAAAAATATAGAAACCGGTTCATCCGGCGGTCGAACCGGGAACCGGTCACCATACTGTTTCAACTAAAAAACCGGTTTTTAAAACATTGTTGAAGAGTAAATATTTCTGAGAAATCCTAATTTGCAAGTATGAATTCGAGTAAGAAGCCCCCTTCATCGTGTAGAATGAAGACATGTGATCAAGAATTGGGCTTTTTTTTCAAGAACAGTCCCTGAAGTTTGGTCTGTTGTCAACTACTACCCCAAACCTGTTTTCTTTGACATTTATGCTACTTTCGAAATGTCAAACTTATCCCCTAAACTTGTATTTTTTTTTTCATATTTGATTAAATGTTATTTAACTTATTTGCATTTCAGATTTCCATTATGCTATTTATTACCACTTTAAAAATCCAAAAGTCATTTTAGCCCTTCAAATCAATTTATATATCAAACAAATTCTTTTAATATTATAATTATAATAACATTTAATAATTTTTATCATTCAAAAATAAATAATTGTAACATTTTTTCGAACATTGTATTCCTTTTATTGTCCAAAACATCTAGCCCGGTTTCAAAACTTCAAAAATGGTCTTTGTGGTT